AACGACTGGCTCAAGTTCGGCAAGCTGCACGACTACGCGAAACAGATCGGCGCGACGCACGTCGCGAGCGGGCATTACGCGAGGATTGCGCACACGGACGGCGGTCCGCGGCTCCTCCGCGGGGTCGATCACTCGAAGGACCAGAGCTATGTCCTCTTCGGCGCGCCGAAGGAACGGCTTTCCGAGATGCTGCTGCCGATCGGGGAGTACGAGAAGACGCGCGTGCGCGAGATGGCGGAGGAATTCGGCCTGCCGACGTTCGACAAGCCGGACTCGCAGGAGATCTGCTTCGTCCCCGACAACGACTACGCCGGCCTCGTCGAGCGCACGCGCCCGGACCTCGCGCGCGAGGGCGAGATCCTCGACGAGACGGGCGCCGTCGTCGGCACGCACGGCGGCCAGCACCGCTTCACCATCGGCCAACGCCGCGGCACGGGCGTGGCGCTGGGGTACCCGATTTACGTCGTGAACAAGGACCCGCGCACGAACACGGTGACGGTGGGGTCGGAGGAGAAGCTGCTCAGTACGCGGGCGACGGTTGGGGAGGCGAACTGGATCGTTGAGCCGGAGACGGACGGGTGGTTCCGGGTGATGGCGCGGTATCGGTACAACGGGGTGGCGGTGCCGGCGGAATGCAGATTGACCCGTGGGACAGGCGTCCCGCCTGTCGGCGTTGAGCGATCAGAGCACAACGAGGCAGGCGGGACGCCTGCCCCACCGGCTGTTGGGCAATCGACCCCTTCCGGACGCACGGGCACGTTCGAGGTGCGCTTCGACGAGCCGCAGCGCGCGGTGGCACCGGGGCAGGCGATGGTGCTGTACGGGGCTCAGGATTCGGATGTGGTTTTGGGGGGTGGGTGGATTGAGGGAACGACTAGCTAAACTGAGTTGATGCCAAAGGACACGCCATTTCGTGATTGGTTTGACAATCTTGATTGGGCCTCGATTGAGCAGCTCCAATCAGAGCGTGCTGAAGAATCTGTTCACAGAGAATTCAAGCGGTTCGAAAAAGCAGACCAGTTTGGCAGGAAAGAAAAGAAATTACTTGCAGCGGCCATCGCCGGCTTTTCAAACGCAGAAGGTGGAGTTTTCCTATTTGGGCCTATCACAAAAGACCGTGACGGTGTCGATGGAGTCGATGATATTCAACTGATCACCGAGCTTTCTGCCGTTGAGAATAAAATCAAGTCACTGATACCCGACGCGACTTCTCCTGCCATTACTGAAGCTGAAGTCAAAGCAATTTACAACCCGAGTGAGAAGAACTCTGGAGTGGTAGCAGTACTTGTCCCACAAAGTGACATGACCCCACATATGGCAAAACTTGGCGTCAATCAGTATTGCCGCAGAAGCTCCAGCTCCACACGAATCATGGAGCACTCCGAAGTGGCAGACATGTTTGGGAGAAGGCCTCATCCGACACTAAGCATCAGCTATGTAGACAATGCCGTAATTGACCCTGTTGAAAAAAGGGAAAACACAGGATCAAATCAAAAGTATTGGCACTACAAATTCTCTGTGACTATTGGAATCATGAATTCAGGACGTGGAGCAGCGAGGTTTCCGTCGCTTGAACTATGGATGCTCCGTGACTCTCCATTGAGCCTGAAACACTCCGCATTACAGGGGCACAATTTCGGATTGCCGATGCGTCCCAAAGGCAGGACGGTCAATCGCTATTCACATATCGCCTTTGGTGGGACAATCCAAGAAGCAGTGCTGCCTGGCGAGACTCTCAATGTCGTACAAATAGACTTCTCTTACGACTTCATGCCTAGTTCTAGGTCACAGTTGGACCGGATTGATCACGCCAGTCTTGGCTACACCATTCGAGCTGAAGGAATCAAACCAGAAGTCGGCATGATTAAAATTGCAGCCAAAGAGCTGACGAATACAGCTCCTGGCCAACTCGCCAGTGCCCTACTGCACGAAAAGCTATCGTCAGAATTCGATTTCGCGAACTACTTCAGCACTCTGGCGTAAATCGGCTCACCCGCCCAGCTTCTTCACCTGCTCCAGTGCCGCGTCGTACTGCTTCTTGAGGAGGCTGTAGCGGAGGAGGGCCTTGACGCGGGTGACGAGTTCGATCTTGTGGACGGGTTTGGTGAGGAACTCGTCGGCGCCGGCTTCGACGGCGCGCTCGACGTCCCCCACTTCGCTCAGGGCGGTGACCATCACGACGGGGATGTCGCGGGTGGCGGGGTTGGCCTTGATCTTCTGGCAGACCTGGAAGCCGCTCATGCGGGGCATCATGACGTCGAGGACGATGAGGTCCGGCGCCTGGCGGTCGACGGATTCGAGGGCCTCGACGCCGTCGGAGGCGGAGGTGACGCCGCAGCCGACGTCCTCGAGGTAGGCCTGGATGAGCTCGAGGTTCTGCTCGTGGTCGTCGACGACGAGGATGGTGGCGTCGGCGAGGTCGATCTGCTCGTCGAGGGCCTCGGGCTTGATGGGGGTGTTCGGGGTCATTCGCGGTCTTTATGACGCCGCCCGGGCGGCGGGGATCCGTGAAGGGGGTCGCGCTCGGGCGTGGGGAAGGGGCTTCTGGTTGGCCCTATCGTAGTTCCTGCGGGGGCGCCGGTCGATTCGCGTGTTTTCGGTGGGCGATTCCGGGCGGTTGGGGAGACACGGGCGTCAAAATAGGGTATAATACGCGAATCAAAGGTTTTTTGACCTTTTTCTTTCCAAACCAGCAGGAGCACCCCTCAGCATGGGCTATTCGGCGAAGGATGTTCGTCTCCCCTGGCAGAACCGGTTCGAGCGTCCGTCCATCGACGACCTCCGCGGCCACTACAACAAGCAGCTCTGCGGCTACCACGACACGGCCCGCGAGTTCGTCAAGAAGTTCGAGAACGTGACCGAGTCCATCGACTGGCACGGCCTGCCCTGGCGGTGGTCGACGCGGTTCGACATCCCCGAGGTGACGGTGGAGCGCGGGTGGGTGTACCTGGTGCCGGATCCCGAGGGGCCGAAGGTGTCCGTGCCGATGACCGAGGACATGGTCGCCCGGCTGCCCAAGACGCGCCTGAAGAAGCACATCCGCGAGGGCATCGAGCACGCCAAGAAGGTGGGCGAGGTGCGCTGGACCGAGTGGACGATCACCAGCAAGTCGCAACTCGAGGACATCCTCGACGTCGCGAAGCGCTGCTACGGGTTCCTCACGGTCCCGGCGGAGTAACCGCCTCGGGTTCTTCGACATCCCGAACCGGCTCGACCCACGCGCCCTGACGCCAGCCGCCCGATTCGGACGGCTCGAACGTTGTCGCGCCCGCATCGATGTCGTAAAGCGGGGCGAGCTGGTCGGGGTCTGCTTCGCGGAGGGGGTCGCCGCCATCCAGATCGAGCTGGGCGCTCCATGTGGGGGCTTCGACATCGAGCAGGTCGATCTCGAAAAGGAGCAGTTCGAGGTATTCCTCGGCCGAAAGGCGCGGGCCGGGGTTGCCGGAGCAGCGGGTGCAGAGGATGTCCGGCGCGTCGGACGAGCCCGCGTTGCGGTCGCGGACGGTGCGCCGGTTGCGGCAGAGAGGGCAGGAGGCCTCGGCCTGAACGTCCGCGATGACGGCGTCGATGAGCCGGCGCTGCTCGCCGGAGAGCGAGGCGATGAAGCGGACGACGTTCGGCCGGCCGAGCTGGATGCGGGCCTTGAGGTTGTCCTCGGCCTTGTGGAGGCTCAGCGCGGCGGCGATCGTCTCGCGGGCGTCGAGGGTGTCGATCGCGGATGTCGGCGGGCCGTCGCCCTCCTGGAGCGAAGCGAGGGCGTTGAGCCAGCGCCGGCGTTCCGAGCCGGACTCCTCGAGCGTGGCGAGCGCGAGGCAGACGCTCCGCGTGAGGCGCGGGGCCCGGGGTGAATCGCGGCTCAGCTCGTACGCGAGGACGTACAAGCGCTGGGCGAGCGCCCGGCCGGACTCGTCGCGGATCTCTGCCGAGACTTCCTCCGCCAGCTCGAAGTACGCCATCGGCTCGTCCGGCGTGAGGGCGGCGAGACGGGCCTCGAGGTCGAGGACATCGATCGTACGCGGCGCCGTCTCGGGCGCGTCCTGAGCGAAGGCTGGGGCGGCGGCGAGCAGGCACATGATGACACAGAGAACGCGGATCATCAGTTGTATCCCTCCTCGACCGGGCTCAGGTCCGTCGCGAGGCGGATCGCCCAGAGCTTGAGCGCGGCGCGCTCGGCGGCCTCGATCTGCTCGAACACGTGCGCCGCTCCGGCGCGGGCATCGTCCATCTCGCGGAGGATCTCAAGAGCTCGGCGCTCGTTCGACGGGCGCTCCGCGACGACCGTGTACGCGAAGAGCTCGACCGCTGAGAGGCGGTGGGCGAGGTACCCCTGGATGGGCCCGCGGGCGATCGCGGTGCGCCGGCCGTGGCGGAGCTCGACGCGCTCGGGCGTGTGCTGCGACATGATCGCCGCGCGGTACTGGCGCGCGGCGCGGAGGGATTGCTCGTAGAGCGCGATCGCCGTCTCCGCCGGGCCTTCTGGCGAGCCGGCGCGGAGCCTGAGCGACGCGGTGCGGGTGAGGTCCTCGGCGAGGCGATCGATGATGGGTCGCCGCTGCTCGGCGACGAGGGCGTGGAGCTTCGCGAGCAGGGCGCGGCGCGTCTCGAGGAGCCAGTCGCGGTCCGAGGGGTCGGGGAGGCTGGCGCCGATGAACCGGCCGAGGAACTCGCTCGTGACGTCGATACGCGGCGCGTCCGGGAGCGCCTCGAGCAGGGCGTGCGTCATCGCGACGCTCTGCGCCCGAAGCTGGCAGGCGCGCTGCGCGGCCGAGCGGACCTCGATGGGCACGGCGTAGTACGCGGCCTGGGCGAGGACGTCCGCGTCGGCGGGGCCGATAGGCGCCGTCGCGCCGGAGAGCGTCCGGATCGCCTCCATCCGCCGGTCTGCGTTGCGCTTGGCGTTGGTGTAGGCCAGCGCGAAGCGGCCGTCCGAGACGGCGGCGGGCGAGGTGAGGGACCCGAGGTCTGTCACGTCGGACCTCCGGCCGGCGTCGAGCGATCGCGCCTCGCTGGACGCGTCGAACGCCGATCCGAGCTCGCGTTCGGCCTCGTCGAACGAGCCGTTCCAGCGGAGCGAGGCGGACGCGGAGAGCCGCCCGTGCATCGCGGCGCGCGCCAAGGCTTCCGTGGGATCGGCGCCGCGGGGCAGCTCCACCGCTCTGGCCGCGGCGGGCGTCCACTTGTGCTCGACCCAGCCGTCCGTGGGCGACTGGGGGAGGGTGTACGCCTCGGCGATCTGGTCGCGGATGTTGGCGCGCTGGATCGGGGGGGCGGCGGGCGTGAGGGGTTGCGTCCATGAGAGGTCCGGCGCGGTCGGTTCCATCTGGACCGCGCGGAGGAACGCGGAGAGGCTCTCGGTGGGGACGGCCTGGTCGTCGAAGAGCGCGAGCAGCGCCTGGCCCGCCTCGCGCTCGGACCAGTCGACGAGGGGGACGAGCGTCGCGAGCGCCGCGCCGGAGGCCGAGCTGGCCGACGGCGACGGCGCGTTGCGGAGCGCGTACCCGATGAGCCCGATCACGGCGTCGCGCGTCGGCTGCTCCTTCAGGTCGTAGAGCGCGACGAGCGTGCGGCGGATCTCCGTCCACACCGCTTCGTCCGCGGTCGCGAAGGGGGCGGAGGCGGCGTCGACCGCGGTGCGCCCCAGCAGGGTCGACGCCGCGGTGGCGCCGGCGCGGAAGCTCGGCTGGGCCGGCCCCTCCCCGCTCAGGAAGATGCGGCCCAGGTGCGTCTCGAGGTGCGCGCGGATGGACGGGTTGGTGTACGTCTCTTTCTGCAGCCGTGCCGCGACACCGACGGACCACACCGCCGGCGGCACGCGCGCGGGAGCGAGGAACCGCCCCGGGGCCCGGTCGCCCGTCGCGAGGTGCGCCGACGGGACGAGCACGAGGTCGAGAAGTCGCTCGGCGTGGTCGCTCGTGCGGTCCTTCTCGAGCACGAGCAGCAGGTTCGCGATGCGGTTGGCCGCGGCCTCGATCGTCGTGCGGTCCAGAGACGTCCACGACTGGGAGATGTTGTCGATCGCCTCGGAGACGGGCGTGAACGCCTCGGCGCCGATCTCTCGGAAGCGGTCCGGGGCGTCGTCGAAGGGCTGGAGCAGCGCGTCGTACGACGCGGGATCGAAGGGCGGCGCGGGGCGACCGCGCAGCGGCGCCGCCGGGGCGGCGTCACGCGACGCTCCGGCGACGGACGCGATCGGCTCGCGAGGGGGCGTGACGATCCGGGGTCGCGCCTCCGGCTCGAGCGGGCGGATGCCGCGGAGCGCGAGCGCCGAGAGCACGAGCAGGATGGCGCTCGCGCTGAAGAGGCTGACGGTGAGGATCGCGAGGGTGACCCGCGCGGCGTGGTTGAGCTTCGCGTTGTGCTCCTTCCGCGCCCGGTCGGCGGGGTCCTCGCGCGGGTCCGGCGCGTCCGCGGCGTGGGTGATGGCGAGGATGGTCGCGTCATGATCGTGGCGGGCGACCTGCTCGAGGATGCGCAGGATCTCCTCGGGGCTGTACCCGTGGTGGCGGGCGATCCCGAGCAGCGCCCGCTTGGAGCGGTCGTTGAGCCCGCCGTGGACCGCGAGGACGGCGGTGACGAGCTGGGTGACGTTCTCGCGCGCGAGGGGGGTCACGGTGCGGCCCTCCCGAGGAGCCCTCGGAGCCGGGCGAAGCGCGGCGCCCAGACGGCGTCGTCGAAGTTCGGGTGGAGCGTGTCGAACTGGTCGAGGATCTCGCGGGCGCGGTCCGGATCGGTCGGGATCCGCGCCTCGATGATCGCGTGCTTGGCCTCGAGCCAGGGCTCGCTGAGCGGCTCGGTGGCGGCGAGGATCGTCCGCCAGTGGCCCAGCGCTTCGAGCGGGTGGCCGGTGTCGCGCTCGAGGCGTGCGGCGGGGCGGATGTACGCGAGCGCCTGCGGGTGCTCGCGGGCGAGGCGGCGGTAGAGCACGTGGGCGAGGGAGCGCATCGCGGCATCGCGTTGGAGCGACCAGAGCGTGTCGGCGGCGTCGGCGACGCGGTACACGAGCGCCGCCTGTCCGGGGTCCGCGAGGTCGAGGCCGCGTTCGCCCTCGTACAGCTCTCGCAGGAGCGGGCGTCCGGCGTCGACGACGTCCCGCGCGAGCGTGGCGAGCCGCTCCTCGTCCCGCGAGTCCGCGAGCTCGAGGGCCTCGACGGCCTTGCGGAAGAGGATCTGCTCGCCGGCCTGCGCGAAGCGTTCGTCGGACTCGCCCGCGCGGTCGGAGGCCTCGCGGGCGCCGTCGAGGTCGCCCCGCGCTGCGAGCAGCTTGGCGCGCCGGTAGTGCAGCTCGGCCTCGATGGCGTCGATGTCGAGCAGGCCCAGGGCGCTGAGGGTGGTGAGCGTGTCCAGCGCGCGCTCGGCTCGGGCGTCGTCGCGCGGCGGGGTCGCGAGGGCGACCTCGAAGAGCCGGCGCGCGTGCAGGGCCGCGCGGTGCGCCGCCTCGCGGTCCCCCGTGCCGCCGCCCGCGGGCAACG